CCCTTCATCTAAGGAGTAGATAAAATTGCTTGCTGAATATAGCAGCATGTGAAAGTCAATATATGAGTGGATAAAATTATAATCTAAATTCTGAAAGTTTTTAAAATGCCTGTTTTTCTTAATATATACAGATAAAATAAACTTTATGCAAGAACTGAGTTATAAAATACACGTCAAAAGAGCTAGTATGTCAACTACAAATGGTTATGGAAACAACCATAAATACTATCACTATTGCAGGATTGACATCATTGTATAGTACGTACATATCGGGGATTTTCTTTAAAAATGATCTGCACCCTGTTTAGCAAACGCAGTACTTTTTACCCCCAACAGTTTCTGAATCTGGTAATTCAATTACGGTTCTGTATGACCGAAATTCGAGATCTACATGCTTTTTCTCAGTTCTATGCATTGACGCAGCTATGTGTAACTTTGTAGACTGATGAACATCTATATACGGTGAACCACATACTACTTTCTTAATCATGGATCTTTTTCCGGAGATTCTTGAAGAAATATTTCAATATCTTAGCTTTGATAAAGTATCCCTTCATTCTTGTATTCTTGTTAATCGAGGATGGTGTAAAGTAGCTGTACCCATATTATGGAAACAACCATTCCTTCTTTTAGAAAATAATACATCTGACAAACTTATCGATGTTTATGCATCTTTTATCACAGATGAAGCATATGCAACACTTCTATCTCAAGACATAAGTTGGTCACTAAATCTTTTTCCAAAAAATAATCAAGCAAAAACATTTACTTATCCCTCTTTTTTACGCCATTTCAGATATGAAAGTTTATGTTTATGTTTAGATTTATGGTATAGAAATCATTTATTAAATATACAAGAAGATAAAATAGATAAAACGAAGAAACCATGGTTACCATCTCTGTCTTCATATGCTATTTCAGCATTTGGCAGTTGGACTCAAAAGGATTCATTAAATTATACATGGCTCACACCTCTTTATATTGAAATTTTTAAAGTTTTTCTAAATTGTGGTGCAAGATTTGAATGTCTTGATCTTTATTCTGAACAAGGTTATCAACCTGTTGATATTAGAGTTTTATTTGAATTACCTGGAATTGAAAATTGTTTAGCGAATCTTAAAGAACTTTCTCCTGCAGCAATGGGAAGTTTTACTTCAATTGATTATTATTCTAAATTATGTCGAAATGTCAAATCCTTAAAAATTGAATCATTAAATATTAATGAATCCACAATATCAGAATTAATTAAAACACAAGCCGCACTTGAACATATTTATATCGGAAATTGCCCTTCTTACAGCCATATCAATTATGTGCAAACTTCATATGGATATTCCGGATCAAACAAAGAATTATTTCTAGCCTTGTTAACACAAGCGAGTTCCCTTAAATCTCTTGAAATTAGGAATTTATTTGTTAATGAAATTCCTTCATATAATTCTAAACAAATAACTTGGGATAATTTAAAATCATTAACAATATATTACGATACTCATCATAATTTAATGAAGATGCCATTTGGTACAAAATATTTTCCAAAATTACAAAAATTATATATAAGACAAAATGTTTTTCCTGCTGATCTTATTGAATTTATTCAAAATACCAATATTTCTTTAAAAGAAATTCATTTAATATTAAGACTTCAATCAAGTGACATTACGAATGTCATTCAATGTATTTCTAATTTTTGTACAAATCTTGTTCATTTTGAATCCACTGTTGATTTTAATGCTATTCCTGCTTTATTCTCTTTACTTCAATCTTGTAAAAACCTTAATCATCTTTCAATTTCAAATCCTTTTATTCCTTATACTGAAGATGATTATAGGATGCTCTCTGCGTTTTTACCTTCTCATTTACTTAGCTTTACTTTAATTACTAACTATAAAGATATTACTGATGAATCTTTTGGCATTTTTCTTCAACATTTATGTGTAAAATTGGATTATTTGGATTTAAGTCAATCTAAAAGAATGAGCTGTCAAGTTCTTGATGTATTGTTGGATAGTGCTAAAATGAACAAATATAGATTTCCAAAAAAGATTTTTATTAGCACTAATCCTATTGATTATTCGGAGAAAAAAGAAAAACTTTGTAAATTAGAAGCCTTGGGTATACAACTTATAAAAAATGATGACCTTTTAACAAATTGTTTTGTTTGCGATTGAGCTATTTTCATAAATTTAATGGCGTTGTAATGTTCTTATTCTTTAATTTTTTTAATAAATCAAACTATACACATATATCAAAGTATGAGAACGCATTAATTGATATATATACAGTATGTATTAAAATAGTAGTATTCAGATACTATTGTAAATATAAACTGACATCTATTTATACCCTCTCTATTTCACTTAAAGAAGTACGGTAGGTATTCTTTTCTACAATTAAACTTCTCATATTTTATAAAATAAAACATATTTTTATGTTTATTCACTATATCATTTAGTAATTGTCTATTGTTACTGCTGCTAAAAAGAAAAGCCACCGCCACAGTGCGCCCAGTTTGAGATGGCTTGATTCCGGCTAAATTACTATTGTTACATAGAGATCGATTTGATTCAAACTTGACTGTAAATATTGTCTCAAATAAGAATTATACAAATCCCTACTGTTGTGATAGTAATGGATAATGATGCGCTGTTTATATATATATATTTGTACAGTACATACAAAATAAAGTAAGCCACCTCCCCTGACAGTGATTACCGAAATTTACTTTACGAAGATCTAAACTAATTTGGTAATAGTCGTAGCCACATAATAAGTACAGTTGTTGATTAGTATATAACTTAATTTGGAAGATTATTAGATCTTTGTAAACAAGGAATAAAAATAAATAAATAAAAATTTTGTACAGTGATGCATTTCTGAACTGCATTATAAACATTATTGGAATTTAATTAGAGTTATTCCCTGTATTCAAAAGTATGTAGGGTTAAATTTTTATAGATAAATTCCATAAATTTTTAATAGAAAAACTACAATATTTGTTCTTTGAAATTCAGTACAGTGAAACCTCAATAAATGCACACCCTCTCTAAATGCACGTTCAATCTCTGGCCCAAATATATACAGGACCTCTATAAATGCACTTTTTCTTATTGTTCTCTAAATGCACGTTGTTAAAGTTCAGTCCCAAAAGCGTGCATTTATGGAGGTTTCACTATATTAAGTTTTTAAGCTATTCTAACACATAAAATTCACCGGGGGTGCTGTATCTCAAAAACGTACTAAGTAAACGGGATCAGGTACTCTAAG